GTAGTAGTTGTCGTAGTAGTCGTAGTAGTAGTGTTAGTAGTAGTAGTAGTAGTAGTAGTAGTAGTAGTAGTAGTACTAGTAGTAGTAGTAGTAGTAGGAGTAATAGGTTCCTGCCTTGTTCCTTTCACTATCTTGTTTTGCAATTTAGCGTTTCACTTGACCTGCATTTTCTGAGACTACCATTCTTTCATGCTCGGTCGTTCCTTCTTTTTAATCAGCTACTTCGTTATGTTTGCTTATGTCTTTGTGTCTTTCCTTGCCTTTGTATTTCTTGTCTTGGTTCGCCGGTTGGGTCTTTCTTTACCTCGTTTGGTTGTGCTTCGCTTTTTCTCCTTGTTGGCGTTCTTTTCTGTATGGCCTTCCTCCTAGTTGATGTTTTGCTCCTGCCAGATTTCTTGGGATTCTGCTTCAATATTTCTGCTGATGCCCGTGCCCTCTGCTCCCTTAACACCCGATCCGAGGCCTGAAAACCCTCCATAAACCTCTCGCCGCCTTATCTGCCTTGAGCAGACCTGCCTGCACGGAGGCCCACATGATGATACTGCGAAATTTCAGGACTGCCATGTCCGGATAAGAGATGTCCGCAATGTGCGACCGGATCCTGGGCTTCGGCTGCTCTACAATGTACTCTACAACTTGCTTTTCCGGGCTTGGCTTCGGCCTCCGACCTCCTGTTTTCACGACGCATCATCCCGGGCCCAGGCGCATGGGTGTGCTGCCGCTGAAGAATCCTGAGATGGCCCTTCCAGCCATCATGGTCCACACACCAGCCTCCGTGAGTCCGGGACAAACTGCGAAGCGTGACCGAGAGCAAGCGCATTACCAGGAGGCTCCAGTGCAGCTAGAACAGAAAACTGTGTCTTTATTCAATCTTGTTCAGGGTGGTTACACTGATTTGGGGTCTGGGATGCTGTCAGCTGCTGAAGATAGAATGAATCAGCCATACCGTGCGAAAGTCTGATTCTAGCCCCACTCGGGCACCGTGTACACTCCTAACACGGCCTTGGCACCCAGGGGCATGAAGTGATGCGCACTGCCCTGAACTGCATAGGAAATCGCCGTGCCCAGGACAGAGAGAATAATGGCGATTCGTATGCCTTTTGTGTCAGCTAACCAGGGCATCCAAGCCAATGAAACGATCCCATAGACATAGAACACCTTGGTTGACTGCGGTAGGCCTTCACAGCAGAGCAAAGGCATGGTCCTAGACACATTCTGCGGCTGATCCTGCATAGCGCTACTGTTGGCAGAAGCCACCAAGGAACGGTCGAGAAAGCACCAATCTCGGCGGTACTTGCGTTGATCTGCTGACCATATGGCACCATCACGGGGGCTGTGAAAAACACCTCGGTTTCTAAAACATTGCACGCAGCGTAAGATTTGCACTTCCGCTGCACATGTCACACATGTCCTGAGGCTGCCAGGCCACTCCCATGGTGTCCGTC